ACTCCACCCTGGCCTCATACTGTAGGTCTTGGTAGAGATCTGTGCAGTGTGATGAGCTTTCAGCTGGGATAGCCATGCCCAGAGATCTCTCTGCAGCAAAGAAAGGGATCTGTCAAGAGAGTTCTGTGCTTTCCAAATAAAAAGTGATTTTCAGTGGGTGAAGAAAAGTGTTGGCACTTGAGAACCCTGATCTGAGAAGATTTTTTGGGGGGCCTTAAATGAAAATCCAGACATCTCACACATAAATTAGGGGTGAGTATAGAGAGTAATTTATAGTGTAAGGATGATCTGCAAGAGGGCTTGAATTTCTCTCACCCTCCTAGCTGCTCAAAAGACCTTCCTTATTAAGAGAGGAAGAAGCAAGTGTGGGGTCGTGGAATGAGAGTTGTGACACATGAGAGGAGAACCCTTCTCACTCAGCCTTGAGCAATATTGCTGTAGTGAGATGGAAACCACAGAGGGTCCTTTACTGTGGTATGGGGGTGCGTGTACAGGACTGAGCTGACTAAGCCCGAGACTTCAAGAGAGAAGGGATGCTTCTCCAAATGATACTCCGGGTCAAGCAGAAGGGAACCTTTCTAAGACTCAGCCTAATAGCGTGTGGTTGTCCTTTTGCATGTACCTTTGGGGCATTTTACTGCCACCAGAAAAACAGTTCTCATTGAAAAAAACACGTGCTCTAAACCTTAGAGACATTTCATGAGATACATGGAACAGCATTTTGAATGGAGACATTGCCATGTCTGTGGGGGCAGGTGTGAGCTCCATGACAGTAACTGCTGCTCTCTGCTTGCCATCCATCAGAGCAAAACTGGAGGGGAAGTTCACATCTGGGTTTGCACTCACGAGCTTGGGAGTAGGACTCACGTGGCTTTTTGGTGTCTGAAATGAAAAGTTAGATCTGAGGGTAGCTGAAGTTTTGGAAGATGGATTTGAGAACAACCCAGTTTTCCTGTTTGTGGCTCTTCTTCCTGCATCTCCAACTTAAGAGCATCCAGAAGTGTGTTCAGAGCTCCAAGAAAATAGAGCAGATAGGTGAATGTAATGATTCAATTCAAAATACTGTCTCTCCCTTCAGAGAACAGGTCTCACACTTCCTTGTTTATGTAGAACTTCATAGTTAATATTCTGCCAGCAACAAGATTATGATGCTTCTTATTGTGTGCAAGGAACTAGGTGCATTTCACACAGCTTCTAGGTTCAGTACATCCAGGTGTGGATAGGACTTCTGGAAATTGAAACTATTGGGGTGGAAAACTCAACTGAGAAAGGAAGTATGCATGACCAGAAGTCAAAAGGGTCTTCTCCTGGGCTGGGCCAGGGGGAGCTGTTACTGCGGTAGCACTGGTGCAAAAGCTGTCACCCGCTTGTTCACGGGCATCTCAGGATACAGACGGTTATGCTTGTATACAGATCATGTGAAGCCTAGCAGAAAGTATGCTCCTACTCAACTAAACTGCCTTCCTTGGAGGAGGTGATCTGACAGTGTTCAAGTCCAGAGTTATTTCTCAGGCCTAAAGCAGAGTTTCGTATCTGTGAAGATAGATAAGGGCCAGGGGTTTATTCCTGCCAGTCAGCCCCCAGCCACAGTGGCTGCAGAGTGGGTAGCAAGGAATGTGCTCCAGGGGTGCTTACAGACACTGTTGCCAAAGAGAAGAGAGGTCATGACAGCAGAAGAAAACAGATTTTTGAGTGTTGGCTTGATAATAGCAAGTCCTTCAGGCCCTGGTACTACCTAATGCAGGTGCCCATCAGAGCACTTTCAGCCATCTGCTATGGCCATCTATGAAATATCCATTTGTTATCTGCAAGAGGAGATACTCAGAAGTAATTGGTCTGGAAGTCCAAGATCCAAACCTGGATTTAAGGCGTCTCTTGAGAATCTGTATCTTAAACTACTGTGGATTATAAAGTCGCTACGCTTGGAGACACTGACTCTTTACAGAAAAAAAAAAAAACTGAAACAGCTGCAACGCCTCATTGACAGGCTCAAGCACAGGGGAGCTCACACTGAAGCAGGCAGCTTCAGAAGACCTTAGTCACACAATGTCAGAGCAACTTGGCTTTAGATTTTTTATCTGGAGGAATTCAAATAAGACTGAAAGAAGGCGAAAATGAAAGGCGGGGTGGGAGGGGGGAAGGATAGCATTGTGAAGCACACATTTGAAAAGGTGGTGATAAAGAGCAACTTCCAACTCGCATATAGAGACCGAGAAGGAAAGGACACATGTGCAGCGTGGGCAGAGGTGAGGTGTCAGCCTGGATGTCCTGCCACCTCATGTGCTTGGATGGGTGCCTGCCTGCAGCTCGAATGTGCATAATGGACAGTTCTCCAGAGTGTTTTTATCAAGTACATACTGAAGTAGGCCTTGATATGAAGCTTAAATTAACCAACAGCACAGTTCAGAAATGTGGCAGCCACTGATAATTATTCATGGGGCTATCTCTTCACATCCTATCAGAGATACTTGTTTCTGTCTTTTCCAGTATGTCACAAGTGGCTTGTTCTTGCCTTTCTGTCCCTTTTCAACTTAGTTTCCTGCTTACTGTTCCGTAACAACTTGGCCCACAAAGTGGCCATGATCACGTAGCACAGATAACAACTAAGAAGCCTTAAGTAGTCAAAACTTCTTTAAAATACAGGTGCAGGATTTCAGAAGGGAGTAGCCTTACCAGTCAGTCATCTTTATCTTACAAACCCTGAAGTTCAGTCATCGAGGCACCGGTTGTACAGCATAAAGCTCATGTACTGTTGTAAACGCCTTGCTTTGCTGTATGCTTGGTCTCCCAGCTTTCAGTGCTGACTCCAAGAAGATAATTTTCCTCCTGAAGATCTCTTAAGTTGCACAAGTGTGTAACGTCAACACAACGGGGCAATACATAGGCATTTCAGTTTCTTACCTGATGACCATACCTCTAGGGTACTAATTCATTTAGTACTGGATTTATTCATGATTTAGGTAAATACGGAAGGTTTACAGATTTGTCCATCTAGTAAGAACAGTGTTAACCTATAACATAAAATGAACAAATGTCTATATTACAAGGGAGGTAAAAACGAGAAGCACAGTCCTAAAGCCCAGTGTGATCCAGATGCCTTGGTGTTCAAGGTGAAGGAAGGTTCGGTAGCATCTGTCATCTTCTTGTTTGCTTTTCCAGGTAAATTCCACCGTTACCGTATTGAGGCAGACGAGCAAACCATTTGGGTTGATAAATATGTGAGCCACGAAAATTACACCGCGGAGACCTCCGATAATGACATAGCCATGCTGCACTTGGCTGAGCCTGTGCTGTATAACAAATACACGCTCCCTATCTGTCTTCCCACCCGCAACCTGGCAGAACAGGAGCTGACAAGAAGTGGGAAGCAGATGGTGGTAACTGGCTGGGGCAGCACAAGCGATGTTAACAACAATTACTCTACTTTCCTCAGTTATATTCAAATCCCCATGGTTCCCCGGAACGAGTGTGCCCAGGTGATGAGATTTGCCATCTCTGACAACATGCTGTGTGCTGGGAGCTTAGAAGACAAAAAAGATGCCTGCAATGGGGACAGTGGAGGCCCTATGATCACTAAATATAAGGATACTTGGTTTTTGGTAGGACTGGTGAGCTGGGGCGAAGGCTGTGGAAGAAAGGAGAAAGTTGGAGTCTACACCAAAGTTAGTCAGTATCTTGAGTGGATCCAGCACCACATAGAACAGATGCCAGCTTCTTGGAAGGGCTGATTCTGATACTGAGAGTCTGGAATATTGCGGCTATGTGCTAGTGACAGTATGCAGTGTAATGTACTGTCAGATCTTCAGTATTAAATATCGAGTATACGTTAACCTTGTGTACTGTTTTTCTTGGTATCTTTTTTTAAATTTTTTTCTTTTCTTTTTTACATTGTCTGCATTGGTTAGTTTCCAGATTATGTTGTTTGTAGCATGGTCCTACTGAGGCCTTAATAGCTTTACGGTGAGATTCTGTACAGCATTTTAGAAACTGAGATGGTCAATGGTCAGACAATTCCATCTTTTAAGTGTAAAATGACTGAACTTGTCAGGGTGGGGGGCGGGAGGGGACAGAGGAAAGCGTTTTAACAATCATGGTAGTGATACAGTTCTGTCATTTCAGCTTTACTCTAACATATTATCCACAGTAAGTGTTTTGTTTGCTCTATATTTGTATAATTTTTCTTTAAACACAATGAAATTCTAATAACATCATTACTGCCTCCACTCATTCACATCTTGCTCCAGTGTCTCACAAGATCAATTTGATTCAGCAGGTCACTAAAACTTCTCTGTATTTTCTATTCTTTGCACACTCATTGCCTGATTTTACCCCTGTAGAGTTCCTTAAAAGTCAATGGGCGTTCTGATGTTACTAAAAAAAAAAAAAAAGAGGTTGAATTCCAAGCTTTTGCATGCTCTATTTATCCTAAGGTCCCTACATCTCTTCTAATGAGCAAGCTAAGCACTTTTGTTTGTTCTTATTCTAGTGAATGCAATCAGCTGCAGGCTATATTAGCATTACTAATACTGATAAATGTGTGTGTGTGTGTATGTTTGCATCTGTATCTGTATGTCTGTGTGTATGTCCGTAAATAAAATAAAGATGTGAAGTAGCAATAGTCAAAATGAAGTTTAGTATCACAATTTATACTTGTTTTTAATGTTAGCACTTAAGCCTGCTAAATATAATTAACCTTGTAGGAAAACAAGTGAAACTCACTCTGCTGTAGTGGTACATGTTTCCAACATCTCAGTCAGGATTTGGACCCATATTTGGGTCAGTGAAGAACTTTAGTCTGCTCTTGTGATAAGGTGGTTAAATGAAGAAAAACTCAGGTACAACAAAATTGTATCAGGATTTGTAAGAAATTTAATATGGTGTCAGCAAAGAGGTTTAATACCTCTTAGACTTGTGGACTTACTCTTGTTGGCTGGCAAGCTGCTTATGTGCTTATTAAGTAAGTGTTGTGGATTCGTGCGTTAAAGGAGTAACAGGCTAAGGGCTTCATGTTGGAGGCAAGCTGAAACTGAAGAGTACAGTCAGGCATCTCTGTGTCGCTGTCTGTGTCTCACTTTTTCTCTTTTTTCCCCTCCCCTTTTTTATTTGGGCCTGGATTTAAGGATCAATGAACGTTAAGAAATAACATGTCAAACAGCAGCCTTCCCGCCCGGGCCTGCACCAGGCTGCTGAGAAGGCTGATGGTGCTAGTCATTGAATTACAAGGAAAAACATTATTGTGTTCAAAGCCAGTAAACATGGGCCTAATTAAAGGCAGAAATCATAATGTCAGTGACTAGCTGTGACTATCACAGGGCAATATTTGCCTTCCTGCCTTGCCTTCCTATGACGCCTCCTACACACTCACAGCTCTGCGTATTTCAACAGATGTTTACAGAGCAGCTTGTGCGTTTTCCAGATCAGTTGGTCTTGCCTGTGGAAAGATGATGGAGTGTCAGAAATATTCTCTTAAAAATTCTGGGTTTTCCTGAAGAAATTTGTTGCAAGGAAAGGGGTTTTATTGTTGGAGGATGTTTTGAAGGACTTTTTATTTTCTATATACATGTGTGTATGTGTGTAGCAACACACACACAATTTTCTACTGATTTTGAATTGCAAATGTGTTTCATAGAATCCAGAAGGTTGTCTCTCCTTTGTAAATATTTGTGGCTGGTTAATGATCAACCTTTTGACCTCATGGCTGTTCCCGGTGTATATCCAAATCTCTCTCCTGTCTTCCCCTAAAAAAAAAAGAACAAAGTGAGTATAATTGCATGGCTCTGTGTAAAGTAAATGCATTCTGGATCCTGTGTTTTTGGAAAAATGATACAGGTAGCAAAGAGGTGTGTGCTGTCAAATCCTGGTAAATTATTTAGCCTGGGAAGGTAATGTGAAGAAATACAAACTTCTGGCTTGCCAGGTACGTGGTGGATGGTTTCCTCACCAGGGTATACGCATACGGTCTTACTTCACAAGACTATCAGTAATTACACAGCAGCTGCTGTCATCAGCAACTGCTGGCTGAAGCGTGTAGCTCGGCCTGGGGTCCTTCACCGTTTAAGCAAGGCTGTCGCTGGAGCCGGCTTCTGCTCGGTTTGGGCCTGATCCATGCCTCCCATGTTCACCACAGCTTTTTTCTTACTTCTGTGGGCTTTGGATCAGATCCTGCACCGCATCCTGGGCAAGGTCAATCTCCGCACGTTGCCTTGCAAACTATTGGGATTCCTGGGGTAGTGTGCATCATCAGTGTGACCTGGAGAAATAATGAACATCGGATCAAAATGAACTGGGTAGAACTTGCTTGCTTGCTCCTTTTCTTCTATTTTTTCGTCTTTTTTGCAGGCTAATTCACCCTTGTTGTTTTTGTGACAATATGCTCATTTCATTCTCCTTTTCCCTCTGAAGGAAATCGGCAGGAAGTCAGAGTATTCTGAATGCTCACTAAAATGGATGGGAGTTCCTCACTTGTGACGTTTCTCTTACTGATGTGCTCCATCAACAGCAGCTGTCCGTTTTCATATTCAGGTAGGTACTTCTGAATTATGTTTTTAACTTCATTGTCTTACTGTGACGATCTTCCCATTTGAACTGAAACTGCATTCCTTTCCTGAACACCAAGGCCTACGGGTTGAAGAAACACCTGAAAAAGAAAGCACAAGAGAAAAATAAATATCCATACATATTTCCAAGAGGAATCAGCCTTTCTTAACTTCCTACTTAGACCACTTTCCTGTTGAAAAGTATTGTCCTTGTGATGTCAAACCCAAAATCTGGATTATTTTTGCATGGCAATGTTTTCAAATTTGGGAAACTAAAATTAGGCACTTTCAACGTGTTCTCGGACCTTATGTTGATTTTACTGCAACAGCTACACAAGATTTGGAAATGGCTTCAGAGAGCTTTAGAACAGGCATGAGAATGCACAGGATCTCACAAATCATTGTGGCTGTCCTTGCAGAGGAGGAAGAGCAGAAGTAGAACTGGTATCTGCAAACCAGAAGGCTTTACAACAGGTGTATCCTCTGTGTGATGGTGCTTACGATGGGTAAATCCTTTAAAGATGACTCCAGAACTCAAGGGGTGGTGAAGGGCAATTTCACCGATGTAAGTGAAAGATACTTTTTCCATTGCCAGAGAGCAGAATCTGTGCAAAGTTTTCCGCGGCTAAGAGGTTTTGTCAGCTGTTTCCAATTGCCTAGAAATGAAGCAATTTAATACCATTCTAGAATTTTAGTCATTGTTGTCCATAGCAGTCCTGCAACTGCAAAGAAACGCGTGTCTTTTTGGTCCATCTCCAAAACTGAGTTCTTTGTCAGAGGGTTTGGACTTGTCTAGGACGCTAAGCCATGACTAGGAAAACAGAGTACTGCTAAATGAACGGCTGTATGAATTTAGTAGGCTTTGTCAGGATTACAAAGCGAGCTTGGTTCTTACAACGCTTCCTAGCAGCAGTTTTTCACAATCAGATCGATGGGGTTTGGATACAGGGCCACACTTCTGGAGGTTTAACAAAAAGGTAAAAGCCTCCATCTACTCAAAGTAGTGACTCAGGCTCAATTCAGTCACCGCACATAAGTGTCCGGAGGTGCTTGAGGTGGCACATGGTACCAATGCATCCAGAAGGACTGAGTCAGCCCTCATTTTCCTTCAGAGCATCCTGGCTGGAAGATCCTGGGAGCCCTGTGCTTCAGCTGGAGGTGCCATCGCAAAGGCTTGCTATGGAGCCTCAAGGGGTACATGGGGAGGATCTTACTGCCATATTCCCTCTTCTGGCCACTCCTCCCTTAATTTATTGGCAGTAATAGCTCTTAAGACATCATGGTAGGAGGGCAGATAGCAAAGTGAAGTTTAGATGAACTAAATGTAAGTACAAAATTGAGACTTTAATGAAGGAGCAGTGTCTGTCCTATTGTGGCCACAGTAGCTACCTGGAAAGCACTGAGTCTACGTTACCGAATATCTCACAAAGCTGACACCAAATATAAACCAAACCTCTCCTTTCAGCTTTATTTCCACATGCATACACAGCCAGGCAACTGGTAATGGTTGTAAATCAGGATGGTTAGGCAGAAAATGTAACCAGCCTCCAAAGAAGAAGTTGTAATACTCAAGAGTCGTGTGGAATAAAAAATTATTTCTGCAGGATTGCAAGTCTCAGTAGCGGGTCTTTTGATCCACTAAAAGAAAGCTTACACTAGGAGTGTCTTTTGTTGGAACACAGACTAATTTTATTTGCCTTCAGGCTCTTTACTTAGATTCCCATTCCTTTTCTTTATAATTGTTTGCTTGACTGAAAGCATGCATGACTGTGACTGTAATGATGCTGGTTTGTTGTCTTCCAGTATCAACTGTTCAATTTCCTTTTTCTAGTGTTTGTGAGAAAAGACAAAGCACACGAGGTGCTGAAAGTCCATAAACGTGCTAACTATTTCCTAGAAGAGATTTATCCAGGGAACTTGGAGAGGGAGTGCAATGAGGAAAAGTGTTCATTTGAGGAGGCTAAGGAGATCTTCCATTCACAGGAGAAAACGGTGAGAGACTTTATGTTAGGAAAAGCAGAGGAAAGTTAACAGTGAGTGTATGAGATCCTTCCCAAGCCACCTGGCGTGGCTCTGACAGGGGCGTGCCTACAGATTCTGCAGCTTGGTGGTCAGGACGGGTCACTCAAGGCACCTGTGAGATCTCACTTCCTAAGCGAGCGCCCAGTTTGTTGTGTAAATGTTAAAACACAATTCCTTGAAAGTATCCAAAACCTGTTTCTGTGAGAGCCTCAATGAGCCTCAAAACCCCATCCCCCCCCCCTAAATACAGAGGAGGAGCGCCTTGTTCCCAGGGCCTGATGGGATTGAGCTGGGAAGCAGGCGTTCTGCCAGGGACCTTTTGCTGAAGCAGGAGTTTGAACTGCAATTTTAAATAGAGGTGCCTAATTTCTCTTTCTTAGCCCGAGCTGCTTGGGTGATGTCTTCCTTAGCAGGGAGCGCAGCGCAGTGGAAATGGCTCTTCAGAGTGAAGCAGTTGGTGCTGAGGATGTTCTGTGAGGAGTCGGGGGTGTCACTCAAAGCTCCCAGGCTGGTGCCACAGGCCTTTCGCTGGCTGGGGCATTTATGGATCTAAGCTTTCAGTTTAATTTTCATCCCAGTACAACCCAGTGCGTGCTCGGTGGCTGGTCCATAATGCAAATGAAAACAAGCTGCATGGTGATGATCAGGAGTTCTGCTCTGAGAATGTATTTTATGGTTCTAATCAAAATGTTAATGTACACACACCCTGAAAAAGTTTTCTAAATTATATATTCAGTAACCAATATGACCACTTATTGACTGTTTTCTTATTTGTGATTTCTTCTTGCAGATGGAGTTTTGGTTCAATTACAAAGGTAGGTAAAAAGGGAATTCTTAAAAAAATCTATTTCTTGTGTCCCTTCTGGGTACAAAGAATTATGTGGCAGTTTAAAGCCAGGCTTCTCTCACTTCTGGAATTACACTAAGCCTCGTTTCTTCTTCTTAGGTTTAAATCCATGTAGTACAAATCCCTGTAATAATGGAGGAGTCTGCAAAATAAGGCACTACAATTACTTTTGCATCTGCCCCCCAAAATTTGGAGGACATACCTGTGAAAAAGGTGAGTACAGGAACAGACACATTGACATTCGTTGTGAAGGAGGGATGAGGCTGGAATTTGCTCCTTGGGTAACTTGAGCTGAACCTTTGCACAGGCTTCTCACCGAGGTTATCAGTGGTGACTTGGTTTGTCTGATACAGAAGTCTCTGTTGTTTGATTCGTACATCAGAACAGTGTTTTCTGATATGGCCTGTTGGGGCACCGCCCCCCCAGGAAGGGAATCGTGGTGTGACAGCGGCTGTAGCTACTTGTAGCTGTGCTGTGCAGAAGAAGAGGGTAGCAGCACCTCCTGTCGTACAGCGGCTGCAGTTCTGGGCCCTGCCACTCACCTGTGCAAGCCCCGAGGAAGGCGCGTGGCAGCCTCCCATCTTCCCTCAAGACAGGGCAGGGGGTTACCTCTTTCTGTCACCTCAGAGCGGTAACAAGTGCAGTGACTCCTGCCATAGATGCCTGCACTGAGATCGTTCATGGTGAGGCCCTGTTCTCTTTTTAATTCTACTGAGTAAAAGCATCCAACAAATTAGTCAAAGCTTAGCATAAACCAGGAAGGCGCGTGGCAGCCTCCCATCTTCCCTCAAGACAGGGCAGGGGGTTACCTCTTTCTGTCACCTCAGAGCGGTAACAAGTGCAGTGACTCCTGCCATAGATGCCTGCACTGAGATCGTTCATGGTGAGGCCCTGTTCTCTTTTTAATTCTACTGAGTAAAAGCATCCAACAAATTAGTCAAAGCTTAGCATAAACCAAAAAGAAAAAATTGTATTTCTGTTGTAATATACGAATTACGAAAAATGAAGTAGAAAAGCTCCCTATCGCTTAACAGTTTTTTGGTCCTCTGAAACACTATATCAGGTCTGCAAATGACTGAGGCGTGAAATGATGTGGAAACTATGAATCATAAGTAATTTTGTATTTCTCCAGAATACTTCTGTTGACCTTTTCTTTTTACAGTGAAGCAATGAAACATGATTTTTTTTTTTAATGTAACAATGTATAAAAAACTCAGTCAATTCCTTGCAGACTTGGCCCCCACCGAAATCCCTAGTACTTTAAACCTGTCATGATATAAAAGATGTGCAGATGGATCAAAAATGGATGCATTTAGAAGTGTTTGCTCTTCCAGGCATTTTCTTGCCCCTGCTCTACAGGCAGAACGGCCTGGAGCCCAGCTGTGGCCTCAAGACAAAGCTGGCAAATAAGAAAATGGTAGAAATGGGAAACAACAGTAGGCATAAGGCAATGTGTTTGGTTTGCTGCAAATCAGCGTGGCTTTATGGGAACTTCAGAAGCTAGTTCCTTCTGTCTCTCTGTGAGATTTCAGCAGGGTTTTTTTTTTCCTACTTTCTTTGGTACAATAATAGTGCTAGAAGCTGGGTGCTGCTCAGGGGTCTGTGCATAGGAATAACCAAGAGAACGCCTGTGTTTCCATCGCAGAAAAGTTTGAATGCTGGTATAAGAACGGTGGGTGCTGGCAGTACTGCAGGGACAGCAGCAGCGCCTTCCATGTGGTGTGTTCCTGCGCCAGGGGTTACACCCTGCACGAGGACGGGAAGAGATGCGTACAAGCAGGTAAAGCATGGTCAGCTCAGAGCGGATTTGCACGCTGTAGCTACTGCAGCTTGCACTTTGTGTACAGACGAGATCTGTCTTATAGTGTTTTGTTTATTTATTTTAAATTTTAAGGTACTTCTCAATCAGGTGCCTCCCTGACCCAGTGCCCCCGTAAAGGAGCAGCAGTGCAGTCTGGGGCAGGGGGCTGTTCCTTCTAACAAACAGCAGCACAGACTTAGGTCAGCTTAACTGAGTTCTGATGCTAAACTGCAGCGTTAGGAGGTGAGGGGACGTGACAAGGGGCTTTAAACCTTTGTGTTAAGGCGTCCTGTCACAAGGGGAGTGGTGGGTTTGGATTCTGTCCTGAACAGAGCCCTCGGCAGAGTGTGCCTGTGGTTCAGAAAAGGCACAGCCATGTGCTGTGTTTCTCGGTAATTAGCTCTGTGCACCTGGGTCGGGGTGGAAGTGGGGTTTGACATCAAGATGTCAGAGTTGTTCCTGGGCTCTTACAGGAGGGTTGAATCCCATTCTTGGGCATGAAAAGGGCTGCTTTTGTGTCGGGAGTTTGATATGACACCACACACCTGAAATTCAGATCTTTATTTCTGTCTTTCCTCCCTCCAGCACCGTTTCCATGTGGCCTGATTAAAGCCAGGCAGACTCTGGAGGAAGCGCGGCTGGGGCAGAAAAGGCTCCCAAGGGGACTGCGTGAGCATGGGGATGATGTGGCCAAGTGGAATGAGAGCGCAGAGGGCACAGTTAGGCAGAGGGAGCTGGAACAAAGTGCTGTTGGGGAAAACGAGACCTTAAAGGATGCCTCTGGGCAGAGCACACGCCTGGAGGGTGATGCTGGACAAACTGAGGTGGCAGGAGATGCTTCCAGGCAGAACGAGATGCTGGTGGACTCCATTACCCAGAAGCCGCTGGGGGATGGTGCTGCCGGGCAGGATGCGGGTGTCCCTGCAGCGGTGGAGGGGAGCGCCAGGCCTGGCAAGCCCGGGAGAGGCCCGGCTCCCTGGAGGGAGCCCACCCAGGGCCCTGTGTGGCAGAACAAGACCGCAGTGCCTGCTGTCAGAGGGGAGGAAATGGCAGGAAACGCTGCTGGGCAAAACCAAACCGGGGAGCGCGCTGGGCACATCAAACCAGGGGCCACTCGAAGTGTGCACGACAGGCTCAGTCAGAGCAGTGACTGGGGAAATGTCTCGAGCACCCCTCAGCAAACCTCTCTGCCGGAGCACAGTGGCTCCAGGATAACGGGAGGAACTTTGTGTCATCGTGGACATTGCCCCTGGCAGGTAATACCCTTCTCCCAGTCTGGCTGTAAATGCCACACCTGGATGCTTTATTTTATCTTGACTGGTTCATCTGGAGCAGAGTTCGTCAAGCCATTGTAAAGTGTCTTTTCAGGTTGAGAGCAATCCAGCCACACGTATTGCTCAAACCTCTGCAGGCCTTTTGGGTGATACCTGCCTTAGGTGCCTTATTTATCATTCTTCCCCCACCCTCGATGTGTGCACTTTTGAGAACTCAGCTTAATACCATCTCTCTTAACTACATCAATCAGAGCTCCTGCTCTGTTGCTCAGGTTCTTTGTTTCCAAATGTTCTTGGTGAGAAGCTGTGCTTCTGGCTCCTTTTGGAATGGCTGCTGGTATTTTTCACAGAAGTATTTCCTATGCCCAGGTGAGATGCTTCATTAGGATGCTGAGCTTTTCAGTAGGGTAAGGAAGATAAACCCGCGAGGGCTCAGATGTGGAGGTGGGCAGCATGGGCAAGTAGGGCACCCTCCCTGACACGTTCATTTTGTTTCCACTTTGTTTTGTTTTTTCTTTAATCTCAGTTTTGGGCTTTTTTGTGTGTGTCCTTATTTGTTACTAATTTTCGCTTATTCCAAATGTCTCCGTTTCAGCAGTGTGCTGCTGTTGTTTATGGGCTTGTGCACAGAAGCGAACAGATTGATCGAAAGCCCCCTCAGGTTACTGTCAGTCTAGCTCATTGCCGTCACACAAAAAGGTTTTCCCATTCCACACATGAGGAGGTGTTTTACAGGTGGAAAAGGAGCAGGCGGCACCTGCGTGGACCACGTGCACTTCTGCAAGCTGAAGTGTCACCACCTGTCCATCGCACGGGTCTCTGCCACCTGACACTTCCAGGAGGATCCTTTTGATCCAGTGGGACCCAATTCTCCCCTGAGACAGGGACATAGCCTGCATGCTGCCCAACCCATACAGTTTCTTCTTGAAATCAAGTGTTGCCATCAAGGAGGTTTTAAATTTTTTCATTACATCAAGCAAGTCATAACTGAATCTTGGTTTTGGTTTGGGGGTTTTTTTGCAACCCCTTTCCCTTCCAGTTCTTTATAACCTGAAAGAAGTCTCAGGTAATTTGTCTTTGCTACTTTTCAATGTTCTGTTTTAGCACTACTGAACAGAACTAAAAACATCAATAGTCCCTAGAATGATGTCAAAATGTAGAATGTGACCTTACTCCAGACCAAGGAGGGAGGCTGGGCTGTGTCGTGCCTTTTTCCACTCCTTATTAACATCACTGGAACTGCGCAGTAGCAAAATGTAAGCTTTTCCTTCAGTTTAACACATGAAAGAACAGGTTCAGGGAGGAGTTGAATTGTCGAGATGCTGAGGCATTGATGGAACTTGAAATTTTTTATTACCAACAGAAGAAACAATAACAAGGTTTCTGGACCTCCGCTCTTACTTGCACTTTCACTTGACAGCTGGGAAAGTGAAAAACAGCCACCCAGAGGCTGTCCACGTGTGTGCATGCATCCCTAACGCAGCCCTGGTGACACGTTCTGCCTCATCTTTCCTACAGGTTTTGATCCGGAATAGTAAAGGTATTGGCTTCTGTGGAGGGAGTTTGATCAGCAGCCGCTGGGTGGTCACTGCCGCTCACTGCCTTGACCTCGTCAGACCACACCACGTTACCGTAGGTGGGCACGGGTTGTACAGCGAAAACCATCGGGGTGATCCCTTACGTAAAATGTGCTTTGCATTGTGCACACGCACACACAGAGGAATGTATGGTTGTGAAACGGCCACACCCAACCTGATGTGGATTTATAGAATGCTTAATTTTCTTGGCAACAGTTAAGTGCAAAGGGGCTCCAGCTGGTCCCTGGTGTTTCATGAACCTGGGAGCATAATGCACAGATTTATCTTTTCTGTCACCCATTTTGGCAAACTCCTTGTATGTGGAGACCGAGCACAGCTCAGGGTTCACCTCAGGAGGAAGGATGCCTGTAAGGTGATTGTTTGCTCTTAAGTCATGTTGGTTTTTTAATCAGCCTTAAGATTAGCTTCCTGCTGTGCTGCCTGCTGCTGGTTGCCTGCAATTGCCTGAGAGCAGAAAGCCCCTCCCCTGGGTCACGTTGGAACCCCTTGCAGCAGGATGGCTGCAACAAAACAGCACCCTGTGCTTGACACCTCCAGCGAGGGAGGGCTGCAAGGGAGCAAACAGAACCCAGGAGAGAATTCTCCAGCCTTATCCCTGGCTGCATCCTAACGCTTGTGTCGCATTCTGAGGCGGGGGAAGCACAAAGTCCCCTGGAAGCTCAGCCAAACTGCTCAAAATAGAGTGCTTACAAAAAAGCAGCGGTAGTGTTTATGGTAAAATCCCTGAAGCTGTAATTGCTGCAAGTATCAATTCATCCAGTCAATGACTTTGTTTTGCCCCTAAGGGGCAAGCAGCAAGCTGGATTTGCAGGATCTCAGCTGCAGCCTGAGAAATTCTTGTTAGAGAGCACGATTTGGTTTGCTCTGTGCCATCTGGGGACGAGAGGCCAAAGCACGAAGTCGCTATCCTTCCCCGTCCCCATGACGATCCCCTATGGGCTGCTTACAGTTTGCTTAACATTTTAACTTGTCATCATTGCAGGAGACTTTGACAAATATCAAAGAGAATTCAAAGAACAGAAGATTGGTGTGGAACGGAGCTGGACACACCCACATTATGATTCAAATCACTACAACAGTGACATCGCCTTGTTGTACTTGAGCAGTGATGTTATTTTTAACGAGTATGCACTTCCCATCTGCCTCCCAAGCCCTAGCCTTGCCACCCTGCTGTCTGAGGAAGGACAAATGGGGATGGTAAGCGGCTGGGGCGCCACCCACCCCCGGGGCTCGACTCTGCGCTTCCTCATGAAAGTCCGGCTGCCCATCGTAAACCTGGAGACCTGTCAGCGCTCAACCGACCGACTCGTTACCGATAACATGTTCTGTGCTGGTTACAACACTGAAGTTGCAGATGCCTGCAAAGGGGACAGCGGTGGCCCTTTCACGGTGTCTTACCACAACACTTGGTTTCTCTTGGGGATTGTAAGCTGGGGCGAGGGCTGTGCTGAAAAAGGAAAATACGGTGTATATACGAGAGTATCCAATTATGTCCCGTGGATTAACGAGATTGTTGAAAGTGTTGCAGATTCAGAAAACTCTACGGTTAACTTTTCTTAAAACCATCTTTAAAAGCAGGGACAAATCTATAATTACAGTCTAAGACATGATGCAGTTCCTGTCCTTAGTCGTGTAAAACCAAGATTACCTGCAAAGAAATTTTGAGTCTCTTTACCATAAATGGTTGAATTGTTAATTCAAGTATTACTGATTAAAATACTTGTGTGTAATAAAGAACTATTCTGCAAATAACAAAGGAGACAACTACTTTTTTTAATGTAAATTCCTGTCAGAAAGGTGTGGGTGGTTTTGGGGTTGGTGGGGTTTTTTTTTTTTTAGAGCAAGGCAAAGCTTCACATTTCTCAAGCCTATGTGCCTACCACAAAAACAGGTGCGTGGCCCTCAGAATTCTTTGCTTAGGAAAAGGAAGTGCATTTCTGGTAGTGCATCTGGCTTCCAGTTACAAAACAGTGCTGCACACAGCAGTTAAGCGCACTCTGACATTTGGTCACTTCAAGTACAATTCAGTTTACTGAAATACAAATGTCTTCTGCTACAAAAGCACTGTCTGTATGGAATCATGTATTTCAGCCCACACTGGATGAACTGAGAGGGAATCCACCTGGCTGCAGCTGGAGCAACGCAGGACGGTGTGATAGACGTCTGAAAGAAAAAAATTATTCCTGGAGGGGCTGTGAGGAAACTGTGGCTCCAGGGGCAGCCGTGCTTATAGAGGGACGCTGCTCCAGCAGCTGGTGCGGGAAGGCACGAAGCGGGGGCTTCACGCTCCTGCCCCGGCAGAGTACTACAGAAATGGAACTAAAACCAGGTGCAGAAGTAGCAACTAACAGAACTGGCCATTTTTCAGACATTTTCTAAGAATGTAAATCCTGTTCTTTATGCTGAAGACATCCCCTCTTGCACACAATTCACCTCTCCCAGTTTCTGATGAAAACCACTCGGCCATCTGACAGTTCATGGCCTAGATGGGTGTAGTCTTTGCTGGATTAAAAAAACTGTCTGGATGGCCGAGCCCAGAGTTGTGGTGAATGGAGTTGTTAAATCCAGTTGGCAGCCAGTCACAAGTGGTGTCCCCCAGGGCTCAGTTCTAGGGCTGGTCTTGTTGGACGAGCGGATGGAGTGTCCCCTCAGTAAGTTTGCAGACAACACCAAACTGGGTGGTAGTGTCAATCAGCACGAGGGTACGAAGGCGCTGCAGAGGGACCTGGACAAGTTGGATCAATGGGCTGAGGCCAACAACTGTATGAGGTTCAACAAGGCCAAGTGCCGGGTCCTGCACTTTGGTCACAATGCTACAGGCTTGGCAAAGAGTGGCTGGAAAGCCACCCCGTGGAAAAAGACCTGGGGGTACTGAATATGTCACCCCTGTCAAAAGACATTTTGTGACCTTACAATTCACTATGAAGTTTAAATTAAAGCCATCAGTCACAGTGATGAATGGGTCTTTCCCTCAGCTTTGTTCAAAGCCTTATAAAAGTCCATTATTAATTACCATTCCATAAGAAACAGAACCTTTTCCTTTGCCTCGGAGAACATACACTGCCAAGCTAGAATTCATTTTGATGGCAAGAAACTCTTAGGACTGCACAAGACCACCAGGGTCAGTACTTTAAGGAAACAGCTCACAGATTTTAAAAATAGCTCCCAGTCCCCCATGATTGCAGGACCAGAACTTAAAAAAAAAAAAAAGTTGGGGTGACACAAGAAAAGAGCAAAAAAAGCCCATCCTAGCCCTTCAAGGCCCAATGGAACCTGGGTATGACGAGCTCTATGCCCTTCAGTTACTTTTCATGACTGCACCTACCAGTATGACAGTAAGGACTGCCTGCCTTTCAATAAATGCTTAATTAAAAAGGGACACCACCACCCCACCTTGAAACTCTCAGCATGCTAAACAACCCCACCTGAGGTCAGGTACCATGCCACAAGCATACCGGGCAAGAGTAGGTGAAGTAATTTTACGAGCAGAGTTCCTTTACTAGGGTCTCTCCAGCGCAGGCCTCCTCCTTAGCTTTTGCTTCATGTCCCAGCAAACAGCTTTATTTTACTGTCAGCCCCCTTCAGTCTCACAGGAGCATAGCAAAATGTGACCATCCACGTACCGTCATTCTCCTCGTTACCAGTGCCAGCAGATGCCAGAGGTACCAAGCGCCTCTAAGCCAGCCAACACCAAGATCCCCACCTCAAAGAATTCACAGAATTACAGCCACACATTACAGCAACTAGGCTGTGCTCTGCTGGAACGAAGATGACTTTCTTCGTGAAATTCCAAAACTGCCATGCAAGGGGAAGAGTCCTCTTCCTGTAGGCAAGCTCAGCAGACAAAAACATTTTCAGAGGTAGCGGTAAAGCAGCAGAGGTACAAAATGTTGCTCTGCTGTCTTTCTGTAGCACCAGGGACGAAGAAACAGCAGCATTATCCCCCTAACACAGAGACAGGAACCTTCTCCTTACCCCTGGTAAAAGAAACCCTTCAGAAAGTTGCTCATGGGCTACAGAGCAACACACCTTTGAGCCACCGAAATACCAAAGCAAAACAAAAGAAAAAAAAATTTACATGGCTTTCACCTCTACAGAACGAAGTCCTAGCAGTAACAAGGCCTTGCAGCAAAGGCTCCACCCAGCCAATCTAAATCCTGCACAAAGCACAAAAAAAAAAAAAAAAAAAAAAAAAAGACAAGCAAATGGCACTGGTATTTGTCTGGCATCTATTTCAGTGTATCCAACCTGAAAAGTAACTTTCATTGTCCCATTTGGAGTTAATCAAGTTTTTCCTATAAAAAGAAAGATTTCACATGTGCAGCGTGAAAGTGTCGGACCTTGGCATGCAGGATCAATAGTAGTGAAATGCTGCTGTCTGTCTGTCTTCAAGCATTTTAGCTGAAAGCTGCTGGAATTTTTAGGGGCTCGTTGCTGGGCTGTTGAACTTTTACATCATACTTTCATGAAAAATGAATTCCCTTGCATGGAAGATGGTCAATATTTCTAATCAAAACAAAGACACGTAGATCTCCAAAGAGAGAACAGCTGATTAATAAAGCACCAAATAAAGAAAAAATGGACAATGGTAAAGAGAAAATTAACATTTAGCAGCTTTTCCACATACCAAGTGGTCCGTACAGACATTCTCTTCAGCAATCAACAGACAGCCCCCCAAAAAAACATATGTTTTATTGTCTAAAGTGTTGCAATACAACAAATACGTGATCTGTACAAAGGACACAGTAGAGCAAGTTTAAATACAATCAGGAGAAAGAAGTCCCCTATTCACAGTCCTCAGACGACATCTTATACCAGAACCTGAACCAAAAATTTAAAGATTCAATAAAACCCAAACGAGTTGTTAAAAAATTGTAAAGGTCTCCCAAGAGTCTATGGGTGTATTGTCCTACAGCAGAGATCATGGGGTATTCTGTGAAGGGTCACAATGGCATCTTATTGCCCTCAATGCTGATTTTCACTGCATGGGCCGATCTGCTTTTTTTCCTGATATCTGTGAATTTCCGCATCTGTTTGTCCAGTCGACTCACCCCTTTCTTAGAGGTCCCCTGGAACTTAAAAAATAAAACTAATAATTACCACTGAAAAAAAGCAGACGTCCCAGAGGTTCAAGAAAAGCAATGCATGCAAGGTTAAACCTGCAAGAGGGAGCTGATGAAGCTACTGGTTCCAACTGGTTGTGTATGCCTGTGCGCACACGTGCACACATTCTCTCCCCACAAAGTGGATAAAATGGTTCCTTCAATATATGCATTGCATATGTTGAGGCAGTCACACTCAAAAACATCACACAGTAAAGCTTTCCCATTAGAGGGATTGATAACCACGTTAGTTGTTCACATGCCGGCTGAATACACAGTTTGGAACAGTTTTGTATCTGTATTGGCTGGAGTTCAGCGTCAGAAATACACTGCACGATGGTGTCATACATACAGGCTTCCTGTGGGGGGAAGACTTTAGACACAAATACGCAGTAACTGAGGTGGATTGATTTGACACATCAATTCCAAACCGCAATTTATTTTAAAGGTCACCAGTAGTCACTAGTACTTATAAAGCAAGATATTATTGGGAAAAAGGAGGTGCAGGGGGAAGCAAAAGAAAAGCCTAAGCTGACCATACAAATTATTAGAAGAGTTGCTGCATTTCATCTCTGTATTTTAACTGCAAATGAAAAACAGAGATGACGCAGCAGTTATTTTGCACACATTAGATACAGTGATTCTGTAGAGAAACGCCACTGAAGACAAACAGCAAGGACTTTCCAATCCATAGCCATTACGTCCTGGAAGGCAATTTCCCCTAACTAGGCCAACAGAAACAATAAATGATGGAAACTTCACACCTTTTAAGTTTGGGAGAAATGGAGGTATCCAGAACATGCTACTTAATACCTGACAAAACACATCTATTAGAAACTGAACCTCTTGTTCCCATCACTGAGGAAGGCCCTCCTGACACACTGATTTTAAATAAACTTTATTCATAACACTGTTCACTATTCATTGAAATGATATCTGCAATTTCACATTGATTTCTAAAAAAATAATTTTTTTTTAAACAAATAAATATGAAGCTTAAACTCAACAGTTACCTACCATCTGTTTTAGCCTTCTCCTGTCACTATTAGTTTGTGGCAGCCCTGCCTTCAGAGCTGAAACACAGACTAATGCCAAAACAATTCCCGCACTGGTCTATGTCATTGAGCATCTCCCTCCACCCTGCATTCACAGCAGGGGATTCTTCTCCCTCTGGGTCTGCAGAGGTCTTGTTCTCTGCCTCCTGTCAACCACCCCTGAAGCCTCACGTCACTCAACTTCCTTGCAAGAGTAAGTGTGAAAAATACGTTACTTTGGACCAGGAAAGCCTCAGCCACAGATGCTGGCATACAGTGACATCAGGCCCTACACTAAGGTTAAGAACTCCTGTGTCAGGTTGGGTAAACCTGGAGAACCCAATTTATGTCAGAACAACATTCAAAACCACAGGTGGTGCAAAGCTGGTTTTGCATACAGGTATTTTCATTTAACAACCCTGACGCTGTTGAGGCAGGTATCGTGACAAATGTCCTATTTTTTCCTGTACGAGTTACCTTTTAGGTCACAGTACAGACATGAGAGAATACGAGGAGAGTTTTCCAAGTTTAAGTTAGGGCGTGCACACTGCTTTTCTGTAAGTACAAACTGCCAACAGCTGAAGCACATGCACTGTTCACACCTCCCTGGAGGGATACCTCTCAAACTTGGGGAAGGCAGAGTGTCATGGCTACAGGGGCATCCTGTTGCCTTCAATGCTGAACTTGATGGCCCGATGCACTTTGCTGAGTCGTTTCTGTTCAGCAAACCGTCTCTTGTGTTTTTCCAAGCGACTAATACCTCTCTTAATAGTCCCTGGCTAGAAACAATATCTTAATTAATGCACAGAAGGAGAGAAAACAGCAGAAAGCACAGTAATAATTACTTCTTCCGTTTACATGTGCTCTACCATGTATTCCACTTTTAAATTAAACTGTGCAAGGTAGATGGATGAACCAAATAAAGCAAGGCAAAGGCCTCTACTGAAGCTGTTCATGTTTACCAAAACTTTCAAGTTTTCCCAAACTGCAATATTATCAGAACATGACAGAAAAAACTAGGAGAGAGATAAAAATATCAGTGATGCACTTATTGAATTGTGGCTTTAGTTCAAAATGCTCTAAAATAAGAGGCCTGTAATCAGATTCTCACCCTGGAGAGAAACTCTAGAACAGTTCACATGAAAAATCTCTTTTTGGTTAAGAGAAGCAACGATACCTGAGTGAAAGTACATGATGAGCTTAAAACAGTTCACTTGATGGCAGAACTTACTGTCTACACGGATTAGAAGAGCCACTTACAAGAAACGTATGGTACAGTAGCCATGGCAATAAGGTGACAGATTCCCAGGCTTAATCAAGAGACAGCTTAGGTACAGAGTCACTAGGTGAGGCTAAGCTATCCCCACACTGCAGTGCTTACCCTGGAGGACTCCATCTCCACATTCCACTTTGGCCTGACCACATAGTCCTTGTTGGAGGGCATCGGCACCCTCGCACGGGCACAGAACCCGGGGTCTCCGGGCCTAAGAGCCCTGCAGAAAAAAAAGACGTGACTGTTAGAGACAGATCTTACACAGAAAGAAGCATGAGCAATCTTGTGCAAGGTGTTCTACCTCTGACACCACTGCCTCTAAAACTTCAAAACAAATTGCGTGTTCTTAGTGCCACTGAAATACTTCTTTCTAATCAAAATTTACAGAAAGAGAAAATCCAACCTACTTTTCCTCTCCAGTTAACACTTTCTCAAGGTCTCTGCGGGGGGTCTGACCACCAGAGCTGCAAGAAAAAAAATTTTACAGGCGTCTATAGACAGAGAAAGATAGTACTTTTAAAAGACAGTCAACTGTGGTAAAAGAAAAGAGAGGTCTTAACTTATTATCCTTTTATTTCCCTTAATACTTACACACCACTTTGTTTTTGATGGGAGCTTAGGAAGAAAGGATTTCATGTTTCTGCCTGCTACTCCTACCTGCTCAATCTCCTTCGCTGAGGCATCTGTTCCAAATCTCTCTGTTCCCTCTCTTCTCTTGTCATGCCTTTGTAGTTTGAGGTAAGGCCAAAGATGGGTCGAGACCATTCATCTATTAAAAAAAAAAAAAAATAAAAATTGGTTAACAAATACTAGGCCTCTGAAATTTATCTCCAGACCACTCTGGTGACCAAATACAGCTTTCAAAGTTTATGGCAAGTATTTATGCTTCCTTTCAACCAAAGAAATTATTTTTGAGCCCTTAATATTTCAGGGAAATCCAGCCTTGTGGACACTAAGAAAGAGCTTTCATCCATAAAGTCTCCTGCTGTTGCCTGCTCTTTTAGAATCTCTCCAAGCTCCTGGTGTCAGGAGCTCCTGACACTCCACATTTTAGAAACAGGCAAAATAGTTCCTCAAGAACAGACAAGTTTATAACCAGTTTGCAGTCGTTCAGGACAGAATGCACTACACATGGACTACGGCTGTTCAAGAAGTAGCCTTTTAGTCATCCAGCTAGCCAAGAGAGAATCTGGGCAAAATAAATGCCATCCTCTGGTTCAGAACGAGAATGGAAGAAACAGGAAACAGGTGCATGCAGAAGCTAATGTAACACCGTTTGTTAAGAGCTCTTCAAACAAAGCAATGAAACAGATTAGTTCAATTCCTACACTGCAGAATGTCAGCTGCTACAGATGACAGCAAAAAAAACATGCAACAGACTGATGCAGAAATTAAATTATCAGTGAAATCTCCCTGATGCAAGGCAAAGGGGGGTTTACATACTGATTAGCTTCCCTGCCATATCCTTGTTAGGTCTCGACTCTTTAGGGTGTTTGTAGAGGTACATCACTGCTCGTCCAATGCCACTGTGCTTCAGGGTCTCTTGGCTCACACTGGGCAGCTGCAGGGTAAAGGATAAGTCAGAAAATAGCAAGCAATTATGTCTGAACATTAACGGTGCCACTGAACTTTTAAAAAATACCAAAACTCGCCTTCACGGTAAGCTTGAAAAAATTTTTCATTGTCCCACTAGGAACCGGTTAAAGTATCAAACAGCAAAACCCCATAAATTTGCCTTAACATTCTTGGGTTTTATACAACACAAAATTAATTACGTTTCCAGAACTATTTATTCCAAATGCTCTTTTGTTTGTATTGCCCAAAAACCGAGTTACTGCCTTTAAAGCATTCATTTTCTAAAGATAAAAACTTACAGGGCAAAAGCATTCAAGTAATCAGCTTAGCTACAAATGATAAAAGCCTACACTGAGTATGATGGGCTTTCTAGTGCACTGCACACTCATAGCCTGGAAAACAGAAGGGACCACAAGAGAGAAAAACTCAGGGATACATAGGAAACGACTACATTTCCATATAATCCTGAAACAGGCAGGGCCAAATAATCCAAATTCAGGCAAGAACTCTTGCAAATTCTTAGCAAGGAGAAATATTTCTAGAGCTTCAGTCAAATAAAGCCAACTAGTGGTGCTGCAAGAAAAATTTCACTTCTACTTCACTATCAAGACTATGTCATGCTTATTTTATGAACACAGCAAAGACAAATTAAGGTGACCGATCACAATGTATGAGCCACTGAGAATGAGAGAAGACAAGTGACTAAACAGTTTAGATTTATCAAGAATCCAGAAATGCCAAAGCACGTAACTCCGTCAGAGAGCGGGTAGAAAACTTTGTGTCTGTAGTTCACTTGAGACTGTCAGCGATGTCTTCTGGCCTGCTGCTAGCAGAGCTATTTGCTTTGTTGTGAACGCAGGCAAAATTTTCCTAACAAGTAAGTGCCTGAAGTTCCCCAGCCAAGTTTTGTTCAGCTATATAGCACGTCTATAACATCAGACTCATTAAAGTAATGCAACTTTTAAACAAGCACATCTATTTTGCAGTTCACTTCCTTGCCTATTTCACTGCAGGGTCCATTGGTAGCAGCTGCAGCACATTTATCACTGAACATTTCCCCAAAGCACACGATTGTAAAACCATGGAGAAGCCACGAATCAAATATGGTTAAAAGTCAGTTTCAAACCTCTTGCAGGATCTTCAGAAGCTCCTCTCGTATCTTTAGTGCTGGCAGACTTCGGTCTGGAAGAGGAGAAAGCCACTCTTTGATGGCAGACATAACACCACTATCAATAAAAGTTTCTTTGAGGTCCTGCCTAGAAAGTTTAAAGTAAAGAGAAGCCACAAAGTCATATAATACATACAAAATCATACAAAATCTTAAGATGCGATGTTCCTTCAGCACAATAGTTTCAAGTTAAATAAACAGGTAAAATTATGTAGAATTTTAGGGTTTTGAGGCCACCTAGCTCCAGCATTTACTTGGAAGAAAAAAAGTGTTTCACTGCATACTCAGTACAACTGTAATGTCAACACCATGAAATCTACCAAATTCCCAGTATTCCCCAAGATAATTAACTGGGAGAATGACAACTCACTTTTTAAGATGCATAACTACAGTTGGTAGCAAAGTTAGTTTCTTCAGTGCTGGTTTCTTTTGTGTATTTAGCTGTCGATCCTCCTGTAGGGAGTTGAAGAATCAGCACAGATTAATCAAAAGAAGAAATCATCAACTCTCATCTTTTACAACATAAACAGGAAAAATACTCATCTATGAAACGAGAAGAGCAACTTTGGTAGGATTACACTAACTCTGTACCCTGCTCCATCTTCCTACAGCCCCCAAACACATTATGTGATGACTTCTCTTAAAAAAGGGTCCCCATGTTAGTCAACATTTTCCTTAAAAGCATCACATTAGGAGATTTCCCCTAAAATTAACTTTTTTTTCTACTTCATGATTTAGGCTGACTGCAATAAACTGAAGGTACGCAGACTCCTCCATGCGAGCTATGCAGAGATAACCTAGAAACTTTGTTAGTAAAATCTCACCTGAACAACAGCAAAACAGCTAACCAAAACAATGGGAAGTGACAAAATGTATATTCACTTCAGCTAAGAATGTAACTGGATGACCTAGAGATGCAAGTAACACCAGAGCACACAGATGTGCATCATGTGCTAAAACAAAGTCTGGGTTTCAAAGTGACTATCATCCAAGGCCACAATGTCACTATCTGTTCAGTACCTCAGCTCCCATATGGTCAAAAAAGACCCATTACAATCAAGGGATTTATGTCCTCCTGTGGTAATTCCTTTCCACTGTAATCCACTGAAGGCTCTTTCTGCACAATGTTTTTTTTTTTTATTGCAAGGGAGGAGATTGTTCTAATTCCCTTCTTCCCCTCTTCATGCCCCAGAACGGTTTGACAGGCACATGCTAGAGAACTATGATTCTATGATTCTAACTACAATACACACAATACCGGAGCTCAGCTCTTCCTTCTTTCCAGGATTTCAAACTTAATGGCTTCATTTGAAACATTTAGCTATCATCTTGTACAAGAAAGACTTTCTTGTCAAGACCAAGAAAGCCTCAGTTGTCTCCCAGATCACCATCTCACTCGTCCCTTCCTCCCCAAACTTGTTATCCTTCTTATCTTGTTCACAGGAAGGTTCTTTTTTTGTTGTTATTTGTAAGATTCCTCTTTCTGAAGTTCTGTGTATGGCCCCCAATTGGTTTTCATGAGTTTCACAGTGCTGTTCGTTAATTTGATTGCTACTCCAACAAAACTACAACCACAACAGAAGATACCTGACAAAAGGCAAGACCCCAATAAACTTTGCACAGTAACATTAAAAATGACTCCTTGAAAAAGGCAGTCTGCCAAGGCAGAACTGCTGATAATTCTGTTGCTCTGCCATCATTTACCACAGTACTCTCATTCAAACAGTTTAGAAAGTAGTAATTAGCTAGTAATTGTATAATGAATTTAAAACCACAGGCCCCTTCTCAGTTTTTGATATACTTATTCATACAGTTTATAGAACATGTATACATCCCTTTTTATAGGACATTGATAAAAGTTTAGCAAGTTAATGAATTTTAATCTTAAAAATGAGTTAATATTTTCTCCCAATTTCAATGAAAGAAATGTTTTAGTTCAGAATAGCCAAATAACATTTAAACAGTTATTTAGATATTGGAAGCTTTCTGTAGCGTACAGATTACTCCTCCTGGGTACCAGCCAAATTTCTGTATTTTACTGATCATAAGATTTTCCCATAGATTTGAACTGGGTTTTAAGGTGTCTTTGGAGCCTAGAAAACTCACCTCAGCAGCTTCATTCATCTTCACAATCATAGCACTGACCACATCATCTGCATCACTAATAAAAGTTCCACCATCACGGTTTCGTCTACGCTTGCCACTCATACTCTTCTTTCGCTGCAGCATCATGTCAAAATCTGACATGAAGTCCATACTGAAATGCAAGAAGAGGTTGCTGATGGTCAGAAGAGGGCTGATCTCACTTTCTTTGTAGGAAATAATTTTGTATTTCTGTAGCGTAACCTTTCGAAAATTCTTCAATAAATCTACAAGCATTATGTCTCAATACCCCTGTAAGATAATTAAGTTATCCTCAGCATACAAACTGGGAAACCAGCAAAGGCCTTCAATGGCTCTGAGATGCCCTCAGGAGTCTGCAAGACCTCGCCAAAATAGCTAACGACACGCACACATGTAATATCCAGGGTTCAAAATGTGCTAAAGCTGTCACCGAAGCTGACAAAGATTTAGCTTTCCTGTGCCTGTAATACACTGCTCTGATGCTACTGGAGCAGACAGAAAGGAAAGAGGAGACACGCTAATGGCAAGTCTTGCCATACCTTGTCCCTTACACCAGCAGAGAAAACACACCTGTGACTCCAATGCTGAACTGCTGAAAGTAGAGTTAGATGCTACTTTGATTAGATAATAATTTCATTCAGGTTTTGCGGTGAACCATGACAGACTGCTCTCTGAAGCAGCAGCACAGGTAATCTGCTATGGACTGCCAAGTGACTACAGCGTACAAGCTGAGAAAGGACTTTCTGTCGTAGTTTACCAGACCACACTTTCTGTAGAAACATAGTCCCATGCCTTTCGAAACCAAGAATTCTAGCCAGTCTCTGGAGTAGCCCTTTCACGAACATCTTGCATTTGCTATTAACAAAGTGGTGCATAAACACATTGACTTACTGCTTCCCTCTCTTGATGTTATCATCAGAGTCTGATTCATCTGCTGTCTCCTTCATGTCTGCATCACCTTTCTCTTCCTCCAAATCTTCCTGGTTAAAACCCTGATGGGTAAAGACAGTGCAAGTCAGTGTATGGATTAAGATTGAGCATCTACTCAGGCACCCAACACTGGCATTCAAAAAGCTTCAGACAAGTCTGCAGAGGATCTAAAAGGAAGAGGAACAAAGGCTTCCTAATTCCACCTGTGACTTTCACACGAGTAACTCTCCCAACAGAAGAGCTGTGTTATTTAACCCAAAGACTACCTCAGTGAGTCCGGCAGATACAAAGCTTCCCTCCTGATACAGCGTATACTTGAACATGAGTTCAAAGCCAGTCATTCTAGAGTACCTTCCCATGAAGATTAGATCTAGCAAGTGAACAAGAGACAATAACACTTACTGTAAATTCCTCCTCTTCCTCATCGCCAGATTCTCCAAATATATCTGCGATCAGGTTCCTGTGAAGGTAACAGTAACATTTATCTATTCGGACTGCAACAGTGAGAAGGCATTTTCTGTAAAATTTCTAATGACTGTGCAGAGATCCACCTTTCATTCTGCCACCTACTACCAACCTTCCTCTTTACACCACCAATGAAGGTGGACAATCGTTCTCTGGTTGGGATTCATCCATTCTCCATTCACTATCAGTCTCACTATCTGCAGCCTTGAAGGAATTCATATTCCCAGAAGCACTTACTCTTGTTCATTTCCAGATTCACTGTCACTGCCAAACAGATCTTTCTCTTCTTTTTTCTTCCCAGCATTCTCTTTTCTTTCTTCTTCTTCGTCCTCACTATCTGATACAATATTTTTCTTCCTTTTGTCAGATTTGTCAGATTTCTCTGAAGCAGCATCACTATCAGATTCTTCGACATCAGAAAGGATTCGTACTTTTTTTGCAGCTGCCAACAGAAAGGAGCATTACTACATGTCCTAATAACAGAGGTGCAACTGGTACTCTCAAAAAAAGTACTCTCTCAAGTTCGATTTGGACAAGAGGAAGCTGACTAGCTTTCCTATACAAAATCACTGCCATTTCTTAAAAAACATATCCATTCTAAAATCTAATTTATTCAGTCAGTAACTGAAGCTTCCATACACATCTACCCATAAAAATCTGTCATTTCAAAACTGACTTTCACCCCCAGTATATATATATATAAAAAAAAAAAAAAAGGAGGAAAAAATTACTATGGAAATAACAACATAGTAGAGAAATGACTAACAGGAATAATCAACACAACAACAGATGCCAGTATAAAGCAAGATCACTGCAGTCTTCTCTTTTACTTCTATTAGACCTACTTACTACTCAAAAACATTAGATACACAATCACACAGAATTGCAGTTAGAACAATAGCCTCTACAAATGCAGTTGTGCTCTAAAACCAAATTTGCTTTATGGTTTCATATTTATCTTAAGATGCTTCTTCACATAAAAACAATGATTTAACTCTTAAGACTGCTGCTTGTCACATCACATTTTTGTTTTCACATTATAGATCCTTACGTGTTTTCTCATTGTCATCCTCACTGTCAGAAAGGATAGCTGTTTTCCTCTTCACTGTCTTCTCCTCCTCTTTCTCTTCTTCATCACTGTCCGATATTTTTCGTCTCTTAGGAGCTTCCTCTTCACTGTCAGAGCCCTGAAATCCTTCCCTTACATGCTCATTATCTGAATGATGAGAATCATTCTGCGCTTCCTCCTTCCTGTCCTCCCCATCACTATCCTCAGACTCTATTTCTTGTTTGTGTCTGGAAACATCCTCGCTCTCCGAGTCGCTAGCTGGCTGTTTGCGGAGTTCCTCACTCTCTGAGTCGCTGGCTGGCTGCTTATGGAGCTCCTCGCTCTCCGAGTCACTGGCTGGCTGCTTATGGAGCTCCTCGCTCTCTGAGTCGCTGGCCGGCTGCTTGTGTGATTCCTCATTTTCAAAATCACTACTGTGATCCCTGTGAGGTTCTCCATTTTCAGAGTCACTTGCTCGATGATTTAAGGCATCTTCATTTTCAGAGTCACTTAAATGACGATTTGGACGGTCCTCAGTATCAGAATCACTGTCTTTCCCTCCATGAGCTGCTTCATTGTCTGAATCACTTACATTGTGATTTGGAGGCTCCTCATTATCTGAGTCACTGTCTTTTTGCCTTGGGATATCTTCATTTTCAGAGTCTGTCATATGAGGCTCTCCCATCTGCCCATCATCTTCTCCATCACTGTGTTCATTCTGAAAGAGAAAAATAACCTCAGGCAACTAAGCAAAAAAAACCTTAAAAAGTAAACAAAAAATGTTCTGCATTTTTGCTTGTCCTTCCTCCAATTTGATTACCCAAGGTAGTGCAAACTGAAGTACTTTCTATATGGAAATAATTATCAGACAATTTGTATCAAAGAACTATAAAATGCTTCAGATCAAGAAAAATATTAAGAGATCAATGGAAGTCTGTCCATCCTGCAGCTCAATCGTATTTTGGAAATGGTACCAGAATTTAAAAAACAATCAAATAGACACGTCTAAGAAGTATCCAGTTCCTTGAGGGTAAATGCTTAGTGCTTTCACTAAGGCCTTTGAAGTGGTTTAGTCCAAATCCCCAGTAATAAGGCAAGAAACAGTACCTTGCACTTTTAATTTTCTTTTACTTAAGATCTCAAACAGATGGGTTTTGTATGAAATAGGTTTTACTGAAACTGCACATGCATTACTTTCCAAATGAAGCTTAAGAGCTTGTGCTCTTTCCTTCTTTGCCAAGGAAACTTGTCAAGAACATGTCAAGACCAAAAGCCTACCAAAAAACAGGAAGAAAGTTTTAGTCAGACCTTTCAGAGTATTACTGGTAACAAGTTTTGTGCTTCCATGTGTAATAATGTAACAGATTCAGCACTTCTCTCCCTTAAGCTGATAGCTCCCATGCCTATCCAGACACCCAAAATAACCTAAGCACAAATATGCCAGTCTTATTAAAACTTTAGAATTGAAACACAAACCTTTATGTCCTTTTCTGCAAGGCAAAAAATACTGAGCCACACACTCTATTTTTGGAAAACAATTTCACAAGCCACCTGTCAATATCACTAATGACAACATCTTGTTTTATCTTTCCTACAGTATCTAATTTCTACTTGGAAAAAAAAATTCTCACTTGCATTTACCCAAGAAAACCAAATTAGACTCTTGAACACTCATTTCATTAACTCAGTACACCTCTCAGTCACTGCCACAATAGTCCTGTTTTCAACTGAAAAGAACAACACTGTAAAAGGAACTTCTTTGCTACATGCTCAACTCCACTCTTCAGCCAAGCTTTCCTCAGGAGTGATTTTGTCTCAACTAGGCTCCTTCCACTAATGTATTTGCAAACTGAGTATATATTGTCCTAGGAGATACTTCAAGACCTACGTGTCCTGGAGGTTCCAAATCTTTTTTTGTCAGCAATTTAATTTCCTTGGAAAGACAGACTTTGTCTGTTTTTATTTTCTATAATCATTCCGCTCCCACATTCAGAGCCATACAAAATAATGCAGGTGTATCTATCCTACACCTACAACACACAATAGTATTAACGTTTTATTTAAAATTCCTTCTTAACCATACATATTGAATTAATTTTTAGTTGCTTTTAGGAACTACTCCCTCCAGAATTATACTAAGTGGTAGGTAAGATTTTGGACCCTGCGCATTTATTCCCTTGGTTAGCACTCAATAAAATAATTTTTAAATTACTGCAGAATTACTAACAGAAAGTTACTGCTCAACAGAAAAAAAATCAGGACTATATAATCTTAAAATATGCACTTCAGATACAACTATTTCCATGTTACTTAATGCTACAAAACAGCGGCTGTGATAATCTAAGTGAGTAGTCTTCTCTCTACTGCCTGCCCCTGTCTCTACAGAGATGCTAGTTTTTTGAATCATGCTGCTGGATTATCCAGTATTTCTCATTTCTCCTTACAGAAAGGAAATGTAGTTCTGTTAAAACCCGAATTTGGAATTTTAGATAATTGAATATGAAGATTAAGAAGTTACAGAATTAAGGATGCACAGCTGAGGATGACCATACACATACTCAACTGCTCTCAGCTTGTTACAGGATTTTATTTACTACTTTTTTTCCTTACAAAAAAATTAATTCCATTACCCTCTCCTGCCCAGTATCTCCCAAATAAACTAACAACGTGTGTAAGTGATGTATTTTCTCTGACTGTATTATTTAAGATTAAAGACAACTACAGCTGCAAACAGAACAGGAAACACAGATTTTACAGCAGTGTTACAGGTAAGGTCATTGAGAAGTACTGAAATGCAGAGGTCTACACGGAAATGGATGTTTAAAATAATAGAAATTCTTTAATCCTTATTTTCCTACCATTTAATTTTTGATGGGTTTGTCTGTCTTCTCTTGATTTCAGATGGCTAATGCTGAATAGGTAGTGATAATTATGTCAGCAGTAATGAGGGATTTTGCAAAATAAAACCAAAGAAAACAATACAAATACTCCTGTTTAAACTGTTAGGCTCATTACCTTCCAGACTGCCAGTCTAGAAAGTCTAGTGAACAAGTAACCCAACCTAAAAAACAACTGTAATCCCTAATGATTCTTAAATGTTTCTAAGGTCAGAAGTGTGGCTGCAGGTTATATATTCACCTATTCAGAATGTATGACTAAATTACAAGGAACTTCCTATGCAAAATACTTGGTAAGAAGTCATTACAATTACACAGCATTATTACTGAAGCACTTTACAATATATTGACTCTCTAATCTGTTACTGCAAAAACTGACAATCACTCTTGAGAACCAAGCTGTCTGGGAAGAGAGAGCAGACATGCATCCTAATTAGCTCACACTGTGATTATACAGTGCTCTGCACCACAGAACCCCAGCAGTCACAGCAGCTGAACTCTACTGTGATATAATCACCTACAGAAGAACCACTTAGATAATATAGGCGCCCTACACAGATCGGGCAGACAGGCACCATCTACTCTAGTACCGAGCCTGGAAAGCATCAGCCAGAGCTAACCCAAGAAGCACACTATTGTATTAGCCAAGGCAATAAGCCCAGCAGAGAGATGACACACTACCTCAGACTCAGCACATTAACATAACTGAGCATCTTCTAAAGCAGAGCTGAGACAGAACTGACTCGCTCAAAGCCTACACAGAAGAGACAGGCCCTGCCCACAGCCATCAGTGCAAAGGTCTTCTGAATCTGTGGATATTTTGGAAGATATTTGATATAAAAAGTGCATGCAACTTTACAGGAAGGTGACTAAACTCTGTAGGATAGTCTCCCCTCCACCCTTCCCCCCTGTTTTTTTTTTTTTTTACTAGTTCGTCTCTAAAAAGGTATTTTCAAAGAAATTGAGTAAGTAATTTTGTAGTTTTCTCTTTTTCCTTTTCCAAATACTTAAAGATCAGACATCTTCAAAAACAAGTAGGTCTCAGGTAATCACTACTGCATTTTTCTCTAATTCCTTTACTTTCTTTTCTTCCTCCTCTTTATCTATAAACATTTTAATTGAGATGTCCTTAATTTTTTTTTAACTGAAAGAATTCTATAACATGAGGCTTTAGTACAGTATAAAATAAGGAATACATCAAAATCAAATTTACAGTGTTATCCTTCTACATAATAATTTCAGTTAGCAGGTAGTTTATTGGATCAACATGCAGCCACTTTTAAGAGGTACTACTTTGGTAAGTTAGTGAAGTTCAACAAAATTGACCCATCCACTACAATCTCATGAATGACAATTGTTAAACTAAGGCATACATAACCATCACAGGCAGATCAGCAAGTTTCTCTTTTTTCAGAAATGTCAGATATTTGTGTATGTTTGTTAACAGTCACAGTCAAACCATAAGTTAATTCGTGAAGACAGCAGCAACTTGGAAGTGTAAGAATCTACATCATTAAAGATTTCCATATGAGCCCAAATTGTACAAACACTGTAAACATGATTTCATATTCATTACTGTACTAAAACTATGTGTTATCTAATTCTATTTGTCTAAAGCAGAATTGGTAAGGACATCAAGCAGAACATTTATAGATAAAGTGGGACTGGGGGAAGGAAAGCCAGAAAAGAATTGTGGAAAAGAAAAACCCACATACCTGAGACCTACATAAGTAATTCCTCAGGATTCCCCTTTTCTTTAAAGTTAAGAACCTGAAAAAAAAGTTTGAAAGTTTAAAACTTCAGTTCCTTACATCTGAGTTCTAAATTAGAGACGAAATAGTAATTAAATAGACTTAACTGATTAGGCTGTCTCAAAGGTTTTACTACCTTTGAGTGTCATTCCTCCCACATATTCCTAAAGATGAAGGAAATAAGAGGATGAGAGAATATTTAGGGTAAATAATAGGACGAATCACTAAAAGCTACACCTTTCAGAGACAGCTGCTCCACATTATTGCATTTTGAGTTGCATTTTGAATCTAATGTAAAAGAAAACTAAAAATGCAAGACTTGTAACAAAAAGAAACCATCAAATGTTTATGAGTTGAACTGAATCAAATAAAGCACTAAGGCTTGAAGGTCCATATATATTACTGGACAGAAAGGTGGTTTAGTTCAGGTTTTTTCCTTCGATTTTTTTTTTAATGGACTTTCTGAAGTATTTTATCTACAGAGGAATATTCAACAGCCATCACAGAACAAAGCCTTTAAAATAATGCAGGCACATGAAAAGGATCGGTTAACTATAATAGGTCCTAGTACTTTCTGACCATTTAAATCTGAAAAACACACCCTGAAGGTGTAAGTAATAGTCAACTACCTGTTATTTAGGGTAGACTTCCAACTACTTTGCCAGGTTAAGTAAAATGAAAATCCCACAGGAGTATAGAAGAATAAGAACAAGCGATCAAGTTTTCATACACAGCAGAAAAAGCTTAATATTACTGTAGCAGCAACTTAACTCTCCATGCACTCACAATTTTTTTTAATTAAACCAGAAGTACTAAATCCCTTTGAAAGACAGTTATTTCTCCCATGCTGAAAAACATATTTTCTCTCACACTGAAATGAAATCCTTACTGTCACAATTAGAGATGCTGCCTCGCAGCAAATCAATTTCTTCCAGTATAAATACCAACACCTTTTAAAAAAAAAAAGAGAAATTCCAAATCTGCTTTACACTCAAATTCAAATACATGGGAAGAACTTTCATTTTAAACAAATATAAAATCTTCATCTACTTGCTAACTTTGAGGGGAGTATGAATTCAATAAAGGAGTGAAGAAAAAAAAAAAAAAAAAAAAAAAAAGGATCGCAAGATATACCACAGCAGAGTTGAGCCTTTTGACACATCAGCCTGCTACAGTATATGACATCACACATTTTAAGCATTTTTTAAAATTTATAACCACTGAAAACCCAATCAATCCTGATCTTTACATAAAATGCAACAAAATACGCAGAACAGAATTAAATGGCTTTGATTAGTTTTTATGAATATCAAAAAGTTCTCCATAACATAACTTTGTTGGCAGAAGATGCAAATTCACAGGCCAAAAATTATTCCTTCCTAGTAAGACCTGACATAATTCTATTTCAAGCTTCTATTTCAAGTTACAAAAAAATTCCTCAAAATTAGCTCCAAAACTGTCCTAGAAATCCAAAGGGCACCTTCACTTTTATCAGAATCTCTTTTCAACCAAAATAGTCAGTCCACAAGTGAAGTGACTCTCCCGCAAATACAACCCTGGATCAAAGCACCACCACCCTTTTCACGGTGTAGGCTTCTCTAAGCAAGAACAGATCCCATTTAGGAACCTTAACCTGTGCCTGCTCTTTTGTGAATGACAAGGTGAAAAACATAGCACAAAATAGACTTGAGAGTCAACACTCACATCTGAGAGGAAAGACGGAAGATAAGAGAGCATTTTATTCTTTGGTAAGGCAATCTATTCCTCCATAATGTGTATTTTTACATTACCGTGCAGGATTTCAGGTAAAATTCTAAATTCCTCATAATCCATTGCTTAAGAATTTCAACCCCAAAAAGTTTTATCTTCTTGCAATTAAGTGTAACAATACTAAACTTTTAATAGTACAAAACAGTGAATAATATCCTAACAATTAAGAAGAAAAATAAAGAAGACCCTATCCTACATATTGGTCAAGAGATTATCTGACACGTTTCTTTCTGGAAGTTTTGCCAGATGAGACCCTTAAGAACAACTGAATAAACCCGTAAGTCTCAGTTAAGAGAAAATTCCTCTTTAAACAAACAAAAAAAAATCAATTTATAGAAGAGCAATCTTCTAGATAAAGTTGCAGTAGTACCTCTGATTGGTGCCCTACACTCCCATTCTCAGATCCAGAGTGCTGCTCATTTCCTTCATCTTCAACATCAGATCCTGAATCTCGTTCATCTTGCACTGGAGTAGCTCCACCGTCATCTACTCCGAAGTTAAGAAAAGAAAAGTAAAACTCAGTGGCATCTCCCAGTATTTAAAACAGCACTGACAGCAATGATGAACAGGGAGACAGCCAGTGCTACAATCAGACTCTCGTTTTAACAGTGTACTAATACAGGATAACGGAGTATCTACTGGGAAGGTTTGGAACAAACCCACCACAGTCACCCCCCAAAGAGATCATAGAACTATTTATAACATGCACGCAAGCAGACTGATACACTAATCAAAACACCGAACTAGTAACAAAGCGGCCGCTGTGCTGGGAGACAGCCAGTGCTACAATCAGACTCTCGTTTTAACAGTGTACTAATACAGGATAACGGAGTATCTACTGGGAAGGTTTGGAACAAACCCACCACAGTCACCCCCCAAAGAGATCATAGAACTATTTATAACATGCACGCAAGCAGACTGATACACTAATCAAAACACCGAACTAGTAACAAAGCGGCCGCTGTGCTGCGACCACCCCAGC